GCCAACGGGGCCCCTACCTCCCAAACCGTCCACCACCACCCAAACCCCCCCAGCCTTCCAAACCCTGTCCTGTCTCCCCTCCCATCTCCCCTCCCAGCCTTCCTTTACAGAGAAGACAGTCACACCCCGTAGGCCCTCCCTGGCCTCCCTGACGTCCAGGACATCCTCTTCCTCCAGCAGGCCAGCTTCTCCGCCTGGGCCCCCCACGCCATCCATCCCCACCACCTCGGGGAGCTGACACCACCCGCCCAGATCCGGACACACCCAGGCCTAAGTCTGAAAGGAGTAAGGCTCCCGCCCTCCCTTGACTCCTGTTACCCGGAGCTACTTCTCCCCCAGCAGCTTCTTAATGGCTTATTCACACGGGAGTCTCACCCTCCCTCCCCAAACTGGCCTCCAGCCCTTCGTGCCTCCAAGCACTCCTCACACCGGCCGCCAAGGACCTCATAAGCTGGGCCTCAGTCCTCACCCCCACTGCCCAGCAGACTCAGCGCACACGACTCCCCCACCAGCCTCCTCCACTGGCCCCTCAGCATGGGGTCCCCAAGCTCTCTCCCCTCCCTCTCCCGAAATCAAACCCACCCCAAGGCAGGGTCTCCCACCTGCTGACCTCCTGGTCACATCTCTCCTGCAAGCTCAGAGTGGGGGGTGCCTCAAACTCTGACACACTTTGACCAACAGTCAAAACAAAACCTCCTCCCCAAAGCCACCCTCCCTCGGCGACCGGCCCACCGCCTCCCCACCTGCACGGGTAGGGCCAACACAGGTGGGGGCTTCCTAGAGAGAACCGCAAAGCCCAATCAGGACATGCAGAGATTCAAAACAGTGCAGCCTCAGTTGCACCTTGAAACTATTCCCAAAAAATTGCAGAGGAAGGAACACTTCCAAACTCATTCTATGAGGCCAGCATCACCCTGGTACCAAAACCAGACAACACCACAAAAAAAGAAATTGTAGCCGATATCACTGATTAACATAGATGCAAAAATCCTCAACAAAATATGCGCAGACCAAATCCAACACTACATTAAAAGGATCATACACCATGGTCAAGAGGGA